AACCACAAATCCAATTCTGGAGAAATGTATGAGCGTTTTACGATTAAATATCTAATTTAATCAAAGATCAAATGAATACCAAATATTTTATATGATAACTACCTTTAAACAAACAAATTCTCAACTGTAATCTACAATAACCTTCAAATACAATTAACCTTACTTTGACAATTTAAAAATGACCTTAAATATGTTTCTTTAAAAGGATATTTTAATTTACAATTTTTTATTTATTAACAAATGACTAAGTTAATCCGGCTCGAAGGACCAATATGTTTGAACAAAGGGGAATTAAAAATTAAATTCCTGACTTTGCTACCAAACTGAATAATTGCTGGTTCAATAGATATTTGTTAATATAGTAGAAATCAAGTTTATTGATCTGTCTAAACAGTGAGTTACTACCTACTGGAAAAATAATAAATTCATTTGAGTTCAGAAAATATTATAATGATACAAAATTAAATTAACCCTTTACAAATCAAATCAAAACTATTCTCTTGATGAGATATTTAAGTCCAAATTGGAATAGACAGAGAGGAATGATGTGTAGAGATGTACTCACGACCTCGAAGAGAAGAAATTAATGAATGTTCGTTAATACCAAGTAATGGAGATTAACACTTCTTGAGAAAATAAAATATAACACTGTGTGCACACAAACTTCTGGTGAATGTTCCTCACGGTTAAATAAAACTTCTGTTGAAACAATAGAGTCAATAATTGATGATTTAATATGGGATACTGAGACCCATGGTAAAATAATTAGAGGGATTCAGAGACCCTCATAATGTTTGATTCACATGAAGACTGCATAGTAACTGCGTGAGTTGGAGCAGTGTACAGGAAAAACCACTGGTCAGTCTATATCATGTCGGCTGGAACTGATAAGCAGGATACGCAGCACATTCCTCTGCATTGTCTGCCTATCTCTCTCTCTCTCTCTCTGTCTGGCTTAACTTAATACAATTTTATTTTATGAACTCACTTAAAATATTATTCTGAATTGAACCAAAAAGTGCAGTGATTTATTTACACACAAAACATTTAAATATCTATTATTTAAATGACAAAACAAGTATTATTTTATTTAAAATAAATTTAAGTTTAGACCTAATTTGAGAATGCTCAAACATACTGTATACTGTTCATCACGTTTTTAGATAAATTTAAAATTCTTTTTATCTAAAATGACATAATTATAAGTTATGTTAAATAATTGGTAGATTTTGATACACTCATCGTGACCAATGCATCAAAATGGCCAATTGTAGTTTTTTTAATCGAAACATTTGATTTTTTGCACAGGCAATGGATAGGCTAACCGACAACCGTTATCCATTGTCTGTGGTTTTTGGTATGTGTATCAGTGGTGTACCAATGTATACTATTGGTTTAAAATAAATCCGTGTAACATTTTACCAAAATCTGTGCAAAACAAACCCAAAATTGGGACCAATTTATTTTTAAAATTATTAAAATTCTTAAAGGTGGTCGTCTGTTTTGTTACATACATTTGTCGATTTAAAATTGGTAAACTAATGAACTGTAATCTATAGCATCTTCCAGAAAAAGAGTAGCAGTTCCTCTTTTATAAGTACTAATAGAATTGTTTGATAACAACTAGAGGTCGTCCAGTGGTTGAAAAATCGACCAAAATATATGTAATGTATAGACTTCTTTATTTTCTCCCCACACTGTAAACAAAACATGTGATTGGCATTTCTTCCATTTATTTTATTTTAATCCTCTGTTTATATTTCGTTGTTGTTTTGTCACCAGCATGGCAACCCATAAGGTCCATGTTTTTTTTCTAATTTTTACCATGCACACGAGTTGAAAAAAAGGTTTTAAAGAATCATGCTTACCTAACACTTGGTTAATAGATCCATAAGACCACCAACCATAAGATACGCATTATGGTTTAGAGTGTTCAATTTTTTATATACTGTACATGTATACACCATATATTTACGACCACGGAAACGTACGGTCAGAGACGGTAGCCGGTGGTCAGACGGTAGCCGGTGAATTTGGACGCTAGCCGGTGGTCGTGGCTGTAGCCGGTAGCTGTATAAATGGCAGCCGGCGGTCAGACGGAAACGTTCGGTCAAAGACGGTGGCCGGTGACCACAGACGGTAGCCGGTGGTTTTCGGTAGCTTGTGAATTTGGACGGTAGCCGGTGGGCGTAGACGGTAGCCGGTGGTCTTCGGTAGCTTGTGAATTTGGACGGTAGCCGGTGGCCGTAGACAGTAGCCGGTGGTCTTCGGTAGCTTGTGAATTTGGACGGTAGCCGGTGGCCGTAAACGGTAGCCGGTGCCCTTAGACGGTAACTGTTTTATTTGGACGCTAGCCGGTGGCCGTGGACGGAAGCCGGTGGCCGTGGACGGTAGCCGGTGGCTTGTATCGTATCGCGCCGCAGTGAAAGTCTACACATAGACAGGTCTTGCAGTCTTCGTCTTGCGCTGCTTTCACAAGTCTGCAGCCACTCATCTGCCGCCGCGACGCCGCACCGCCAACAGAATGCGAACACATTCTTGTAACGCAAACCAAGCAGCTATTGCGGCTAAAAGCGGCTTTTATCACGAGTTTCACCGAGAATTAGGACTTTTACTGTGATTTCCGTACAGTTGAATAGGTTTATGGGCCATCTGTTTTTATAGGTGCATTTGCACAATTCCTTCTTGGATTTGCGAGATGGAATAGTAATGGTTAATTTTCCTTGATGGCTTCCTTCGTTTAGGTTTCATTACAATGGCACGGTAATTAAATACGATTTCGACATTAAGCATCTACAAATAAATAAATGAAAACGTACATTGCTCTTCAATTAAAATTATTTGTAAATTTAATTATTAGCCCATTATTAGTGGTAATTACGTATTACTTGGTTATGTTCCTTGCATTTAACATATACTACCGTTGATAATTTTACGAACAGAGGACACCTATTAGCTTAAAGGTATTTTTACGGATGTTAAAAACATCATTTAGCATATGCAAATATTCGAAAATAAAAGTTAACAGTTTTTAAATGCTGTTTTACGGACTTAACTTATTCGAAGATGGGCTTAATCATATATTGTTCGTGTGGTTTATGCACATATCGATTGGTTTAAGATTATGCCGAATGCTTCATAAAATATTTTATCCGGTTGCAAAATCTGTAAGCAAACTATGCCCATGTGACTATATACAGTAGCAAGTAAACACGATTTTACTAAATACTTGTCCATAGAAAAAACACATCTCAAAAAGTTTTTTTCTCCTTATGGATCAGTCGAAGACCTGTGCCTGTCCGAGAACGTTTGACTCTGTCGATATACTCTCCTTTAAATTTATCCATGTTTGCCTCCTGGATTGAATAATAATAATAATAATAGGTTAAATACCTTGTATACGTCCTCAATCCAAGTCGTCTTTTAAAATGACTATAGTTTCGGGGCCAACAGCCCCATTGTCAAATTTTCTGTCTTGTTAATTACTGTTTATAGCATTGGTCACCGTTGAAGTACATATATACACATACACTGACACACGAAACATTTATATTTACACGTAACATTGAAAAATTATACTTTTTGGCCGGCCTAAACAAAAGTGATTACATCATTGTGCGGACCGGTACACTGATCACACTATCGGCTAACATGAATCAGTCAGTCAGTCAGTGTACCGGTCCGCACAATGAGTTAATCACTTTTGTTTAGGCCGGCCAAAAAGTATAATTTTTCAATGTTACGTGTAAATATAAATGTTTCGTGTGTCAGTGTATGTGTATATATGTACTTCAACGGTGACCAATGCTATAAACAGTAATTAACAAGACAGAAAATTTGACAATGGGGCTGTTGGCCCCGAAACTATAGTCATTTTAAAAGACGACTTGGATTGAGGACGTATACAAGGTATTTAACCTATTATTATTATCTCCTTTAAAATTATAAATGGTTAGGATATCTGTAAACTACATGGCTACTGGATGCTAAAAGTGAAACCAAAGACTAACTCATATTGTAATGATTGCCCTTCGGTAAGAGAGAAAGAAAGTGGATACTAACGCATCAAGTGTTACCAGGCAGACAACACATATTAAAACAAGTTTTACATAACCTCGATTTTTCAAGTACAGAATGCGAACTTGCAAAATCCAAAGTCAATGTCTCATCAACAACTTGAGGAGGAGAATGTACTTAACACATCCGCCACATTCACTCTAACCGGACTTGTCGTAGAAATCGCAGTGAGTGGTCAGCAAAGCTGTACTGGCACCGGGAAACACCCGCCAAAAATGCAAGAAATCCAAGAAAGTGTGGTGTAAGAGAGAGGCAGAATGTCCAAAAGCGTTTAATTGTCGCCGAGTATAGAAAGCAGTCGCTGCAAAAAGTGGACTGAAGTGATCGGAAAGTTGACCGGCAACGCGGCAAGGACGTCGAAGGTCGCGCGGAAATGAGCCGTCGATCAAGAAATCTATACATTATATAAAACGACAATTATAGCGCTCATTTAATTTTAGGAGTAAATATATTTGGGGTAAAGTAATTACACAAGTTTGAAGTGCATTAACTACAAAATGGATAATTTGTATAAATCTTTCTCGGTAGAACTTTGCAAATACGAACAAAGTTGCTGTGCGGAAACGATTGGACTACAAAAAACCTATATTTATTTGTACATGTATCGATTACAAGGCATGTTTATATTTATGTTTCGAAACTCTGAAATATTGTGTGGGCTTTAAGCATTTTATAAACCGAAAATGTTTTAAGTTGTTCATAACAACAAACCAACATATTTGATGAGCTTAGAATAGTAGATCTACATGGCTTCAATGTGTTAGATAGCAAAACAATAAAAGTGCAGAACAAATTGCACTTATTTCCGAGTATGTAGAATTTTGTGCAACTTGGTTACTTTTAAAGACTTTTGTGCATAAAATACAATGGGCTTCATTCACTATAACCATAAAGCCATGAATAAAATATGTCTTGGTACTCACATTTTTAAATACGTATCCATCTTCTTCTCCGTGAGGATGACCGCATCGTCACTTTGCACCGTCATCACCTCGCAGAACACCTTCTTTGCGCACGGAGTCGTACTCCAGACCGCATGGGATGGCATGGACCCCTCGTAGGTTCTCTGAGAGTCCAGACTCTGCAGAACCGCTTCCATGGCTTCATCAGGGTCTACAGACCTCCTCCTTCGCGTCTTTTCTTCCACCTTCCTCTGTTCCTCAGCCGCCTCGACAACCCTGATGACCTCCTCGGCTTCCTTCGCCTCTGCCGGAACGACGATTCTCCCTTCCACAACGGACGGAGATTCTGCCAGAGTTCTTGCTATGGATTCCATCGCTCTTTTATGTTCCGCGGATAGGTCGTCGTCAATGGCCCCGTCAGACCCTTTGCTCCTCTTAAGCATGTCGACATCCAAATACCTGGAAGAAGATTTGGTATAAGAATATTAAATTCATAAAAGTCATGAAATAACACCTTTCATGAACAAAAGACGAGCAAAGATCGTTTTAGGAGAATCGTTTGAACCAACCGAAACCGTTCGAACCGAACCGTATGTTACCGAAATCGTTTGAATCGTTTGAATCGTTTGAGGTTGTCATACATATATCTTACAAAAAATAATTAGTTTATTTTATAATGTGTCTGCAATTAAAAACAACTACTAAATTAGTAACGTTGGGGCAATTAAAACAGCCTGTTTATGTAAGTGAGATGATGCACCCAATAAATCGGAAAAGAACTTAAATCCTAACCTTGAAAAGAAAAATCATACAGATCTCTGTTACTCTAAATCAATGCGCGAAATGAGTGGGTGTTGACCCATAAGTCAAAGTAGATGAATCACAATTTTATTGCACATTTAGACATTTAAGAATCCATAGAAAACACACATGCTCTTATATCCCAGGAAAAAAAATATCTCTCATATACTCTATGGTTTTGATATTGATACGTCTTTCAAGATAAAGAATATTAACATGGCATCCCGGAGCGAGGACACATGACTGGTAGAAAGTAGTCGGATAAGAAGATGAGTGCATGTCCTCCTTTGGAATTTTAGAAGTGGGGTTGACAAATGAATCCTGTAGATGAACCCAGCCCAGATAACATGACTTCCAACTGTTCAACTCAATTAACCTCTACTGAACCTGAAAGGAGTTCTATTGCTGAGCTCTCACTTATTTCAAGTCATGTTTGTGTATTTAAAACATCCAACACCATAACAGGATTTAGATTGTGTGAAATATGAGTTGATGCAAGAAAGTCTGTTACATAACATAATCAGACTCACCCACACTACGTAACAAGGACTTCCTAAACAAGTTGAATAGTTCTTTTATATGCAAACTGAATCGTGATTGACTTTCACCAACAATATGCAGACGTGATATGAGTGATGATGGCTTGTTGCTGTAAGCTACGATGTTGGGAAACATTCGCCATATTTGGTCATGATCATTAGTGTGATAATGATCCAAACTAAGGGTATTAGTCATACATCGTAACAGTAAACTATGACTAATTTACAAGTTTGTCACGTTTGTACAGATTTGTTGGGAATAAATGTCATAAAATAAAGACCTTTGGCTATAATTTTACGCAGAGCTTGTTTACCTCAATTTAAAATGTAAATCAGTTCACAAAATATTAATGGATTTGATTAATTAATTGTTACGAACGATGATATACAATTGACTGGTTTTGAAAAGCCATTTAGGCATTAATAATTCTAATTAATAATTTAATAATTCTTTAATAATTTTTAGGGATAATAGAATGGGAAAAAACAATTAGCCTAGATAATAACTGCCGGGTTTCTTTACGGGAGGAGAAAGTAAATTTAATTCGTAAGATTTTTTCCCTCTAAAATGTAGTGCAGGAATAAAAAATATAACGTTTCTCCTTACCTCCCCACTGCGACCGCTCCTAAGCCCAAAGCCGCTCCTCCGGCCACGAGTCCTAGCGCTGGGAAAATCACAGACGGTGTTCCAGCCATCCCCAGCTTCTCCTTGATTGTGTTAAGTTCCCTGTACCCTGTAGATTCCAACCCCAAGTTCTTGGAGATCTTATGTGTAGCTTCCACCAAGGGTTCCATCACAGGCCTGGTAAGGTCACTGACCTTGTCCATGCTGGTTTGAACATGTTCTTTGATGGAGTCACTCATCCTCTGCCAGAACGGTCTATTGTCTACAGAGCTCTGGTAGGCACTGTAAGTTGGATGGCTGTTGGAGCTGTAACTGTATTTACTGTAGTATTTGTCCCGGTAGTTATCAGTGACAGCCTGATCTGCGTAGAAGTATGGTAAAGTTTTCTTCGGCCTTTGAGGAACTCCGCTGTGAGAACGTTTCCCGTTGTTGCTGAAGTCTTCGACTCTAGCTTCGTCTTCTAGACCGGGCTCGAAAGCGTAAGGACTTCTATCTGCGTGAATGTCGTGAGCGAAGTATGCCAGGGCTTGTTCTCTTCTGTCTGAAAGTTTTGCGTCGGCCAATTCGCTGTCTGGAGTAGGAGCTACTTTTGCCGGCTGGACGCCAAGTTCCGGGTGGGCGTACTGGAGTACTGGAGTTCGGACTCCTTCCTCGAAAGAAACTCTAGATGGTTGTTGGCTTGGAGGTGAGTACAGAAGTGAGGTAGGATACACAGGTGATCCTGGATTCTGTAGCACTCGGGCTTGAATTTGTGGATGTGCAGCTTCTTTTACAGTTCGAGATTCTCTTTCAGCGTTGAAAATATTTTGTTTTTTGTTCACCTCCTCGCGGTTGATTTTCTTGATGTAATCTAGAATTCTGTCTCGTACGTACATTTCGTTTTCGGGTAGGTATGAAGTCGGCTCGTCGACTATTTTGACGTTCTGTTGCTGAGGATGGTGGAATTCATACCACTCTTGAGCACTTGGAGTTGTCACAACGGCGATCAATTCCGATGGCTTGAACTTCTCTTGGACAGGTGGAGGAAGGACTGGAGCTTGACTCCAGGGGCCTTTGTATGAATTGTAGCTTTCCTTTGGAACAGTCTGCTTGACAGGTTCTACTCTGACCCACTGAACTGTCGATGTTGATTGAGGATTGAATTTCTTCTTTTCAGTATTGTACTTTACGTCAAAAGTATGCTTGGGCTGATTCTTATCATAAGGTGTGAGTTTTCCATCGATAACGCGAGCATTTCTCCATACAACTTTATCACTCTCGTCATCAGGCATTCTGACTCCCTCAATTACCGGAATGCCGTCAGAGTCTACCGTCATCAAGCTGCGCGCTCTGTTTTCCCAGTCACTGCTATCTTTTTGCTGACCTTTCACAAATACTTGTGTCGATCTTACGAAAACCGGCTGAGGCACAGCTTGGTTTTTGGAGTCTCTAACAGATTCTTTTGGCTCATTACTAACCGGGCTAATCTCTTTTTCATCTTTAGTATTTATCGGTTCCGATGACACAACAACTGGTTTCGGAACGTTTTGGGGGACATTTTCGTTCTTCACGACTGTAGTGTTTAAACTACTAGTTTTGTTTTCCGTGTGGTTGATGTTTTCTTTTACAAAAGGGAAGTGTTGTCTGCCGTCTCTCTTCTTGACCAATATTGTCGCAATTTCTCCTGTTCTACTCTTCACCTGCATTTCTTCCATGGACGCAGGGTCGAGACTCCTGGCTACATGCAGCTTTGTCCTTGTCTCTTGCACTTTCTGGCCAAGACATCCCACAATCAGAAGACACAATGGCACCAGTAGCCGCACTGTCAACGCCATCTGAAACAAAACAACACGCATGAGTATATCTGACAACAAAGTTGTTTTAAGATAGTTGTCATTAGGTCAGTGAATAAATAAACAATCATCCACATACTAGTTCAATGCAACATTTGATACTCATTGATAAAAGCTTATTTTTAGACTATTACGTAACTATTGGAGTTGAATATTGATATACCTTAACCTTAGTACCAAACAGTTAGTGCTATCAGCAACTAAAATAGGGGTTTAAAAACAAAACCTAAAATAAAATCCATAGCAAAGTCGTGAATATTGAAGGGATTCTGCAATTCCACAACCCATCCGCAGGTTATGCACGTTGTCGGTGTATTACCTTAATGCCAAGGTGCCGCGTGAGATGTTAGTACGATTTACAATCCCCTTTCTACCTTCAGATAGTAATAAAATATCAGGTGACGATTGAACATTCTAATTAACCTATTTTAAATTCTAACGTATATCTATATGCGTATTTTTTAGCTGAGAAAAAAGGTTTGAAAAGAAACATGCTTGCCTATTAATAATAGATTACATCCATGTGTTCTGTTGCTTATGGACATGATATTTACTCATTTATTTATCACCTTAGTTTTATTTATTTCCATAGTGTGGGGATAACAAGTTTTCTTTTTATCTTTAAATTATGCGTATTGAAACTCGTGATAGTCGTAATTTAGCATTACTTGAATGTTGAAATCCCAATAAATTGATGGATGAAGCCGTGCAAAGCTGATTTCTTCTCTACAAATATCTCTAATACGTTTGGAACTCTCCTGACGAACGGTTACTGGAGTCGGCACGAGGAAAATTAGGCGGAATCTCGCAACTCTTGAAACGATGACCTAAATGAGTGAGTTTATGATGAAGAATGATTTGTATCGGACCGGAACCGTGCGGTCGGCACCAATTAACAAGTAGGCCTAGCTCTAGTCTCTAGGCCTCTCAAGCGAAGTCTGGTTCTTATACTCGACTTTGATCATGTTTTAGTTACATTTGGTATTTTCAGGGGGTCTACGTGATTAACAAGTGTGCCAATTTCTAGTCCTCACATGTTTCGATGACATGTTTGATTAGTTTAATTTCACTTAAGGTTTTTTGAATCCTATGTTTCAATGAGTCTTCGCAATCAAAAAGTAGGCTGCGTTTACATTGGAGGCACGCTTGGGCAAGTAAAATGGTGGCGAACACTTGGCCAAGCTTGCCCTTTGAAACAAAATTGTAGCAGATTACAGGAAACCGGTGGCGACTTGACCAGTGGTGGTTACAGTGCTCGCCACTGGGCAAGCGCACTCTGGGACAAGCTTGCGCTTCTCAAATCACGAAACTAGGCAAACGCGTTCTAACATCTCCTCTAGTCTTCGCTAGGTTTGCTCTCTGATTCTTCTTATTGACTTTGGTTTTAGTTTATTTTAGAAATTCCTCGCAATCAAGGTATAGAAAAGCTTCCCCTGTACTCATCAAAAACGTCACATCTATTTGAGGAGCTACTAATTTTCAAACTAAGTGCTCTTTTTCTTTTTGATACAAATCATTCTTCATCATAAACTCACTCATTTAGGTCATCGTTTCAAGAGTTGCGAGATTCCGCCTAATTTTCCTCGTGCCGACTCCAGTAACCGTTCGTCAGGAGAGTTCCAAACGTATTAGAGATATTTGTAGAGAAGAAATCAGCTTTGCAAATTTGGCTCAAAATTAAAACCCATAACGAAACACAGCATCTTAAACACACGATTTTTCAAATATTTGCATAATTTACTTTCATTATCAGATGGATTTGAGCTTCCTCTCACCCGTTTAAGGTTCGATTAAAGCCTTATCGTCAGTCAGGGCAGTGACATAGACACAATGTCACAATGCCCAGGATATGGTATCTCGCTGCATCCATTACAAGTAACGGACCAGCCTATCACAGAGGACTCCGGTGTTCAATGTCCGCGGCCAGCGCTCTAATGAGCCATATGACATTTACTGACCTCGAATCACTTTCTGCGTTCTAAAAATATTTCTACGTGGGAAACAAGATGGGGAGCGGGTAATGCACAGATTTTAGTCAAAATTAGAGGGTGCTTTTGTGTAACGCAATCCAAACTAACAGTACTGTAAGACACATTGAATGACAAAAGAAGCTTTATGTTGGTATCTCTGTTTTCTAGGATTGTCGATCAGCTGATATGCATTGTTGCATCGTTATCTATGATGTTTAGTAAGGTATTTTTACGATACACAATTATGGTTTTTCCGTAAGCTCGAAGAGTTAGAAGAATGCGTTAAAAGTAAGTCATTGGTTTTACGCCAAGAAAGGTTTGATTAAGATTCTGTTATTTCAGTACCTAAATAAACTTTTATTTACAAGTACAAATTCCAGGAAACCGGGTCCATAGTTAACTAAATAAACAAAGACCTACAATGCATACATTATTTGAGCTTCTGAAAACACCAGGTTGATTACTATATGTAATCAATTCACAATAACACTAAAACTCATCAGCTGATCGATAATGAAGTACATACAAAGGTGATACGAACATCTAAGCTTGTTTTGTTGTTAAACAGTGATGCATCACAGTACTTGTAATGTTTGGGTAGCGTTTAAAAAATCCTGTATTTTAATCAGCTTATGTTTTTTTCTTACGATAATGAGAAAATAAGTGATGTACTGCTTACTTGTACCATAGATAAAAGGAGTAGACAAATAAATTAAAGGAATAGTGTCTACTTGTTATTCTATGCCGAAAGGTAATGGACGCGTCTGACCAAGCAAGATCTATGTAATGGGACGTCCTGAAGCTTCATCGTTCAGCTGAAGGTCAGTTCTAAACTTCTAATCTCCGATGATTTTCAACGTTAATGTGATAATGCCATGAGCCAGTTTTACTTATAACTGTAGGTAAACCAATCAAATAATAACAAATATTTATATAGGTCTACCACGATATGAGAAGTTTTCTAATGGTGCATTCCTGTCCAATTAAAAACAATGTAGTTGCAAAACTTTAAGGCACGTTACATTTACGAAAATGAAATTTCACCATTTATTTGAAAGTTTTTGGAGGTGCTCATAAAATTTTTTAGAAAGCCTTGAATTAAAATAAAATTAACTTCTTTACAAAAACCATGGACGTTTCCTGGCATAGAATACAGGTGCAATTCATTCATGTAAAAAAAATCGTAATATGCAAAATATCAAAAAGAATCCTTTGAAACCTAGTTACAGCACGGAAGTTTCCAAAAAATTGCGTCACCCAGGAGCAATGGGGAAGTCGGGGATATTTTTGACCTCGAGTTGGAACTTTCGATTTCCTCGACGCAGCCTAGTGTCGCTGAACCCACTTTCCCCATCTATAAGGTTCATCCGAGGAGGACATGGCTCTCTCTCTCTCTCCCTCCATCTCTTCTCATTCTATTTCCCTCTCTCTCACTCCACGGTTTGTCTCTGGTCACGCCAGATGACCACGTGACTAATCGGGCTTTGTATATTGTGTCATATTTTCCTTTGTGCACACCGCTTCAAAGTAAACTTGGTGAAGAAAGTAAATACGTTTTGGATAGGGGCTTTGTAAGGTCTTTGCACCTTTGGAAATTCCTTGGGTATGAACATTGGTATTTGTCAATCAAAGTGTCCGTTAGCAAAAAAATGTAAGAAATATTTTGGCCAAATGTTGATGAGTAAATTTAATTACTCCAGGCAAACAGTGGGTCTTCTAATAGCCATCGTACTTAGTTTTTCCCAATTTGAGGAATTGAGAAGATCAAACAAACATACAGTGATCTGAATCAAATTATTTTGAAATAAATAAAACCGAATGGGTAGCTTTTTCAAAAGAAATGGAGCAGCGCAGTTTTTTACTTGCATTTTAAAAACGATTGATGATTAGAAGTGTTTGTTTATGGGTACCGGTACAAGTCTAGAAGTAGGTGTTAGTTTCTGATGTCGTTTATTTGTTAGCTACTGTTTTGTTTCCGATCTCCGTGCTAAGATTGGTGGAATGTAGGACTATTGTTTATAGAGTGCTACTCGATCATACATTATTGCTAGTTACTAGTCCTACTAGACTTGGATACCATAACAAACTCAGATACATGGACACGTAGCAGTAATACATGTTAATTTACTCCTATTTCGTAGTTTTTTACGTGTCCTAGATCGAAGTTTCCTCAGTTTCAAAACACATTCGACCTTAATCAGCAAAGTTACACCATTCACGTCACCATCAACACTATGGTGTAACTTGACACTTCCCCCATAACCCCCATAACTCGTCAAACTTAAGCTTTTATGCGATGCGGGATTCCGGCCTCAAGCTAATTGATTAGCTTTCTACAAATATTACGTCAGATTTTAGAGCTTACGCAATAAGTGCTTTGATAATCATGCGGGAGAAAACTTATCATTGGCAATATAGCGGATTATGGACAATAAATAACAGCGTATATGCTATTACAACGTATTTATTGGCTCTTACAATACTATTTGGGTTTTTGGTACACATTTTACAAATAATGTATCATGATCTGTAGCGGGTAGATAACGCATAAGAGTACTGCGAACTGTGTGGTTCTTTAATTCTACCATAGAAAACCAATACACTTCTTGTAAACATTTCCATAGTTATAATACAAGAAACTGCAGTTCAATAGCTAGATCCTACAGAATGAGCAAGGTGCGCCATATTCTTTTGAACATGTTAGCGTATAACAGTCTGTCTTTTCAACACATCTAGTTCATTATGACTATTTATTTTTTTTTCTACAGTATTGAAGAATTATTTGACTGTGTTTAGCTTAGTTTATTTTTTAACCTCATTAAACTACTAATAATGCTGTAATGATAATTAACCTAAATACCAACGTTAAAGTTGTCACCCGATTTAGATTAGAAATTGATGTATTTGAATTCAGTCACCACAAGATTGCACTGACATAAATAATAATTTGTGTCGAATAAGACAATATTTCGACCAAGTCAATTAATAGAAAAATAAATTGCCAGATCTAGC